CTTCCCATGTGGCTCAGCCTTATGGAACATTGCATTTGACTGCTGCACCACTGTTCAGTCTATAGACCTAAGTTATTAGCATCTGCAGGGCAGTGAGAGGGAGTCACTGGGGCACATATCTTGGGAAAAAAGCTTCAGAGTAAGAATATCATTGGTCCTATAGCCACAGAAATAATTGCCCGTGTTATTCCTTAACTGAGATATAAAGCTAAATACTTTTTTATACATTTGATATTTCAGTCTCAAGCTAATGCTTTTTAAATGATCGTAGCCATACGTGTAATAACAAAGAGGAAGCAAGTAGGACAGATGCTGTTGAACTGACCAGAATGTGGCGGGTAGAAAGAGCTACACCAGATTGACCCTCAGGCCAAAATTTCATCTATCTTATAATTGGATAATTGCATACAGGATTCTGTGAATACTTAACACTAATTCCCTACTTAGTGGTCTTTGCCAGATTTAATTATCTCTGCCTTATTTAACCCTGGAAACATAGGTAAATAACAGGGCACTTAATAGAATAAGACAGTAGATAATTGTGTATAAGCTGGCTAGCACATAATTTTTGAAAACTGGATTCTTTTGCTGGCATCCGTTCACTTTGGAAATAGTTACTGTGAATTTCATTTTCTAACATGAAATGGAGTAAAATGAAAGATTGCCTCATTGAAGTCATTTGAGGAGATAAAGTATTGGAAAGACTTAAATTCATGTTGGTCTTTAAGGGGCGACAGACATAGAGCAATGTATATGTTTACTGTGAAGCATATGGTGGTAAAGCACTTACATTTCTCCTAATGTATGACCTTTATGTTCAGTCGATTATGTTGATCTTTGTTGTGGGGAAGCCATTATGTGTGTGAAGTTATATGTATATGTGTGTGTATATATTTGCATATGTATGTGGATATATATACACACACACGCAGGTAGATAGTTACATGTATGTAAAGTTTTATATATATAAATGTATGTTTATATTGTGTTGTCAGGAAAGTCATGATGCATTTTTGCATAGAAAAACAGAAAAATATGTCATGACTTTCCCAACAACCTGACAAGTTTATATGTATGTTAGATACAAAGGAGTCTTCATGCCATGATCCACTCTCAGCCAGGATCATGTGCAGGATTGTATGAACTGAAATAAGTACCAGCGTTATTCCTTAACTATAAAACTAAATGTCAGCTCAAAATGTCAGCCTTACTCTAGAAATATTCTAATGTTATTGTGAACACCTGTATTAGGATTCATTACTTCTGTGAAGGAAGTTCTTCAATCCTTTATAATAGGGTAATATAGTTTGAGAATTAAAAAAAATTAGGAATCAGTTTGCATGTATTGATACACAATATAAATGAAGCGTTATGCCTAGAATTGCAAAGAGGTATTGTATAAAAGATACTGTTTTTATTACAACATGGTTTTTAAAATAGAAAATAGGAATTTGGAAACAGTTTAAAAGTAAGGTGAATATTATATGAAGTTGTACTTTGCATCTTTTTTTAAAAAGTTTTTAGGGACAGACTTGCTGTGTTGGCCATCTTCCTGCCTCAGCCTCCCAAGTAACTAGGATTATAGGCATGTATCACTGCCCCCTTCTCTCTCCATATCTGTATCAGCAGTAATTTTAATTTTATTGGGTTGTTGGGAAACTCATGACAAATTCTTCTATGTTTTCTATGCAAAAATGCATCACGACTTTTCTGACAACCCAAATTATTTTTAATTATTTTTTAATTTAATTTGTGATAGAGTACAGGAGAGAGAAAAACACATGTATCTAGTTATCCTGTGATTCTTTCCTCCAGCTTTCCATCTTTTCAGGATCTTTGGGCACGTGCAAACCTTTCTGGTTAACCAGGAGGGGTTCTGGACCCACCGTCGGCCATGTGGCTTCTAGCATTGCAGTTTGTCATGCTACTGACTGCCCCAAAGAGACTGAGGCTATGCTCATTTTTAAATGCAGGATTTCTCCTAGGTGTTTCTGAAATGTTGGCAGATTTGGAATTGCATTGTCTTAGTCATCCTAACACACTGAAAAGTAGAATGATACATATGCTCTTAGCTACTTCCCTAATGCAACAAGAGAGCTCATTACGGTGCATTTTCTGGGATGTGTAGTTACACTCCATATACATCACTTACGTGATGGGGAAAATTGTGGGTAATTTTATAGTAAGGTATTTTCAGTGCTGAAAAATCCCAGTGGGCTTGAAACTAATAAAAATGTACTCAGATCAATTGAAAGATAAAAACAAGGCAAGAAATAGAATGTGGTTAGAGCCTTTCACTCTTTTATGAACAAGGGAGAGCAGAAGTGACATGATGCTCATTTTAGATGGGTAAAGGATAAGTTGTATTTTGAATATGATTTTGTTAAAGGGACTGATATTTTGGGACCTTGATCATTTCTTTTGCCACTTTACTGAAATCTGCTAGAAGAATTTAGGTATTAAAAAGTATGTATGTGTTAAATAGAGGAGATAATTTACTTGATTCTTATATTTAAAAATTCAATGTCAACAGCATGTTTTTTAATATTTATTTATTTGTTTATTTTTATTTTTTGCAATAGAGTGAGTGCACTCACCAGAGAGACAGTGAGAGGCAGTGAGATATTACCCCTGGAAGATGGCTCTACTGCAATTCCTTTTCCTTCCTTCTCCTCCTGGGATTTTGGGGATGCACACAGAGGAGCCTGGTATGATTTTCAAGACACCAGGTCCAGGACATGGACGGCGGTTGACTATGTGGGAGTCCAGTGCCTTAACCTGCTAGCACCCCCATATTTTCATTTTAACAGCTGAAAAACTAAAAAACAAAAAACAGAAAACTAAAGGTGAAGAAAGAGAGCAGGCAGAGGTGAAAGATTTAGGATCTTCTCTTTCTGTTTTTTTTTTTTTTTTTT